GACCTGGTATTACGGATAGAAACAGGATACACAAGGCGGAGACTAGCGCTACTTGGCTAAAAGTAGGTCTGTTTTACCATGGACATGGTCCATGAAGCGAAGGTTTGACCATGATGATTACTCAGGGGCTTTAGCCTCATGTTAATCTCCCAGAGGCAGAGTGTGCCTCGAGTAGCACAGATGGAGTGGCAGGAGTCGAGTAAAATACTTGAACGAGGGAGATAGCAGACGGATCCTATGGGAAAAGATGGAGATTCTGATAAGACACGTGGAAGGAGGACGGCGTAACAAAAGTACAGACTCTGATGAACAATATGAGATGTATTCACCATATTTCGTTTCAGGTGATGAAGGACTGGTAGTAGAATTTTTCCACAATGCTATAAGTAAAGCTGATGTTTCCATTGAATTTTCCATAGCCTTGCTTTCCCAAAAGTTGTTCTCATCCAGGGTGGACTGCCGTTTCGCTCTCGCATTGCTCTTATCAACACCCCTAGCGGGAGTCGAAACGTGACAATGCAGCATGTGAACATGACACGTTAACCACTCGGCCACATTGCCACGAGTGTACTTGAGTCACAGGGCCGATGCAAATAACAAGGAAGTCCTGGCCTTTTTCCATATCACAAGCTTTGGTGTGATTGTCGATGAAGCAAACGTATTTCAACTGTTACTTATTTTTCGTATGTAATTAGAGTTTCGATACCACCAGTAAATTAGTAATATGAGATTTTACATCAAAAATACGTTTGCTACTCAAAGCAGTGCCAAATTTTCCAAAGATAAGCAAGTAAAATAAGGTATAATATACAATTAGATGTACAATAGGGCAAATGAAGTCCCAAGGATTGGAAGATGAACAATTAAACTATAGATTTACTGTATAAATAAAGGTACATTTTCTGACAAGATGAATCTTAACTGCGACCGAACAAAAGGTCACACCATCTTAGTCTTCCTAGCTACGATCATCGTTTTAACATCAACAGAATCAGACCAGAGTTTATCGCATTTATGAATCTATATACGATACAATATATGGGAATGATGTCATATTCTGATAAGAGTAAGTCAGAATGAGTGTTCAACTCACCTTGCTCTAATTCTGTTCGAGGGGAGGTAGTGACAAAATCGCATGCAAGAGACAAATCGTTTTCGTCTGCCCGAATTGTGCTGGCGCGCTCAGTCCTTAAGCGACTAGCGTAGATTCCGAACTCATCGTCTGATTCTATGTTTCCCCGACCTTGAATTAGTAAAGATGAGAAAAAGGAGCGAGCTTGCGAATGAGCCAATATTCTACCAAACGAAATAGCTTATTTAAAATAATAAGAAAAATATTTTCAAAATACGGTAAATCATGCAAAAAGTTAAGCTTGTATATGAATAGGAGGATAGTGGAAAAAATTCTTATTGAAAGGCTTCTTGAATTACAATTGTTGAGCCTACTCCAATTTCAAATAAAAACTTGATAAAGAAATCCCAATTCTATTTCCCCAAAAGACGATAGATTCTATTTGAATGATTAGTTTGACTTTCATTTCTTATAAAAATGTATGAATAAAATATTCGAAGGGATTCAGCCGTCCTCTTCTGGTGAGATCAACTTTCGAATCTCTTCTTCATACAGTTTCATACGAAATAAAAGTTATAACCAATAATGTTATCTCAGGAGATTCATCTAAACCTATTTACACTTCATATCTACAACTGTCGTTTCGAATAACGTTCCGGTTGACTAAGGATAACTTTACTATGACAAGCGAAAGCTTATCACGTCGTTACTAAAATATGAGATTATCTAGAGGATTAAATTAACCAAAAAATACTAATAAAACCAAACGAAAGATGGCCAAAAGGAACCAGATGTCGTCTTCTAGTAAGGCCGATCAATTAATATCTTCATAGCGCACTTTTACTCCTAAAGTAAGTTCAACAACAAAAAATCTAGACATTAAGGTCCTTGAAGGACACCTAATGAAGAATTGTATGCGAAAAAAAAGATGTAGACATTTTTAAAGCCCATAATTCTAAATAAGCCCCAACTTCACCGTCTAATTCTGTTTCACCAAAGTCGTGAGTCCCGCCGGGAAGTAGTAGATGTCCCGAAGAGACAATACTTAGCGCACAGGCACTTGCACGTTCCAGATAAGCCATTAAAGGGTCGCTATTGGAAGTATTGTTATCACTGGTCTCAGTTGCCTTGACAGCAGCATCTGGGTGGCGAGCATAGAGATCGATTAGTAGGTGGTGTACTGACTGAGGACACGGAATTCTATCTATGACTCGCTCAAGATAACGAATCGCCCAATTGGGCGGAAGAAGAAGGATAGCTGGCAAAAGGCTAAAAAAAGAGAATATCAAGGAAAATTAAGCAACAATCGACAATAAACTAAAATAGCCCCATAGAATGCTAGCTCAGAGAGGAGCAGGTCTCAGTTAAAATAGCTTTAATAAATTTAAGAACGAAGGCCAATAATCAACAAAGTAATACTTAATAGATATTAGCTGAGGTGCCCAAAAGAGGCGCTAGGAAGTGACTCTAATCTAACAAGTGACAAACACAAAAGAAAGGAAGTTAATATGTCTAATACCGAAACTAAATGATAAAAATGGCATACAATTCGTCAATTTAAAAAATATAAAAAATTTTAAATGGAGTGAGTGCATTACTCCTTTCCACGAAAACATTCTAGAATGCTGATATTTTCTAAAATCCCGAAATACAAAATACAACTTAGAAAGTAAATATTCCTTTTGAGATAAAATTTGATTCCGAAGTAAAATTTCGTTAGAAGGAAGTCGTAAATTTGTCCAACAGGAAATCGAATGTGGATACCCAAGGAGTGAAGATCATTGGATTGTGCGGAGAAGTCATTAGCTCATCTTTTTGCAACCCCAATGAATCTGTACTAAGGTCTCGTCTGTAATGTGACAAACATCGGAAGAGCGATAAACCATAATTAACAAAAACACACACCAAATAAAAGGAGCCGAGAAAAAAAGGTGGCTGTCGTAATAAAGAATCTCATGCTTTGATTGGCTATGTCATGCCTAACATACATTCTTGTAAATGGGGGAGGTTGAGGCATGAAAAGGAAGTGTAGTGTAAGTTGTTTCCTTGCCCATGTAAAAACCGTATGATACTACAATTTTTACGAATTTTGCTTTGTGTATTGTGTATATGCCGAAGACGAAGACTAGTTTCTCTATATTCTAATCCAGAGTTGACTGCAGTTTGGGATTCGCTTGGGTCTCGTTAACCCCCCAACAGGGATCAGATCCGGTAGTGCAGCATATAATTTCGACATGTTACAGCGCTACATTGCCACGGAAGCCAGAGTCACAGGATACTTTTGAATTTAATTGCAAGCCAGTCCTTTCCCATATCACAGTTCTGTAGTGAGATGCAGGCGAAGTAGAAACTACAGTTCACACTGGATGACACATCGTTAAGGAAGGTAAGGCCAAGACAAACTCATTGGATGAATACAACTCTTATTAAAGATGTATTGATACTTTGAAACCGACTCACTCTAAATAATGAGATAAGGATGCATAAAGAATCTCGAGGCTATTGGCCAGCAAAATCCAGCTCAAAACAAATAGAGCAGATAATGGCCTTAAAACATTAGTCAAACTGGAAACCGAAGGAGGATTTCTGCGTAGATAATACTGCTGTATTGTGCGAAGAAGTCCTCGGCCCACCGTCCTGCGACCAAGATGAATCTATAACATACATCATCAGGGCAGGAATCCATACTTTAAGAACTAGAGCAAAAATATACTAAAACAAGAGAAAAGGTGACCGGCTGCTTCCCTAGTTATTTTTTACACACCTAAGATTGCCATCTTAATGAGGCATCCCATGACTTGATTGG